CTGAACTACATACGTGAGAGACCCTGTCTCAAAGGAATAAGCATGAAAATGAGAGGGGAGAATATTTGATGTTGTCTTCTGCTCTCTGCATGCACACACATAGACTTGATCACTTGAGTGTACGTACATGTGTATACACACACACACACACAGAGAGAGAGAATGAGAAAAATAAACAATTCTGTTTATAATATCATCAAAAAGAAGCAAACATTCATTAATAAATGTAAGAAGTATAATCCTTGTATTCTGAAAACATCAGAACACTGTTTAAATCATTGCTTGTATATGTGCATGTATGTGCCAGATGTCGATTTTGGTTATCTTTTTCAATTGCTGTCCACTTTGTATTTTGAGATTAATCTCTCACTGAATCTGGGTTCTTGGATTCAGTTAGACTGGCTAGCCAGTGAGTCCCAGCAATACTTCTGTCTTCCTCTCTAATGCTGGGATTACAGGAGAGTTAGCTTTTTATGTGGGTGTTAAAGCTTGAACTCAGATCCTCATTCTTGCACAACAAACATTTTACTGATGAACCCTCTCCTAATGAACCCCTGTTGAAAGAAACTTTTAAAATACTCAAATACGCCGGGCAGTGGTGGCGCACGCCTTTAATCCCAGCACTCGGGAGGCAGAGCCAGGCGGATCTCTGTGAGTTCGAGGCCAGCCTGGGCTACCAAGTGAGTTCCAGGAAAGGCGCAAAGCTACACAGAGAAACCCTGTCTCGAAAAAACCAAAAAAAAAAACCTCAAATACATGGGAAAATAGGTTCACTTGAGAAATTTAATATGGAGATGACAATACTCAAGCTTGGTGGTCCACAATTACAACCCTAGAATTTGAGAGGCTAAGGCAGGAAGATTGCTAGTTTTAGGCTAATCTGAGCTACACAACAAGACCCTATCTAAAAATATGATGATATTCTCCAAACTAATCTATAAATTTAACACAGTTCTGAAGAAAATCCCAGCTACCTTAGAAAAGGACCCAGAAGATAGGTACAACAATCTTTGGAAAGAAAAACAAAATTTTAGGATTCATACCTCCAATTTTGAAAATTTACTACACACTAATATCAATTAAGGCAGTGTACTATTGGTATAAAGACAGCCATATAGATACATAGCATAGAACTAGAGCCTAAAAATAAATCTTTATATCTATGTTCAGTTGAATTTGTCCATCAACTGGTAAATGAGTAAACAAAGTGGAATAAATCCATACATTGAAACATTTGGTAGGTTTGTTTGCTTGTTTTGTTTGTTTAAGGCAGGGTCTCACTTTGGAACCCTGTCTGGCATGGAACTTACTATGTAGACCAGGCTGGCCTTGAACTCAGAGATGCACTTGTTTCTGCCTCCCAAGTGCCGGAATTAAAGACGTGTGCTTCCAGGTCTGACTCATTGAAATGTTATTAATAAAAAGGAACATAGATTGACCTTGAAAGTTATGTTAAGAAAAACAAAGCACATAATGTGAAGAAAAGGCAAATTTACAGAGACATAAAGTAGATTAATGGTTATTTAGGGCTGGGAGACTAAGAATGGGTATAAATTAAAGGAAGATAAAAACATTCTACAGTTGTTTGTGGTGGTGATTGCACAACTCTGAAAACATAAGATCACTGAATTATACTTATTAAAATGGTAAATCAGCTGGGCAGTGGTGGCACATGCCTTTAATTCTAGCACTTGGGAGGTAGAGGCAGGTGGATCTCTATGAGTTTGAGGCCAGTCTGGTCTACAAAGCAGATGCCAGGACAGCCAGGACTGTTATACAGCCAGTACTGAAACCCTATCTCAGAAAACCACACACACACACACACACACACACACACACGGTAAATCAGCCTTCTGGTGATGTACATCTTTAATTCCAGTTCTCAGGAGGCAGAGGCAGGTGGATTTGTTATCTCTTATCTCTGTGAGTTCCAGGCTAGCCAGGGCTATATAATGAAAGTCAGGGTTCTGCAGGAAAACTGTCTCAACAAACAAAACAACAACAAAAAAGTTATGTGTTTTGTTTGCACATATATATGTGTATTACCTGCATGCCTCGAACTCACTTTGTAAACCAGGCTGGCCTCAAACTCAGAAATCTACCTGCCTCTGCCTCCCAAGAGCTGAGATCAAAGGCCTGTGCCACCACATCTGGCTTTATATATATATATATATATATATATATATATATAAAATCTTAAAAAGAAAAAACTCCAAAATTCAAGTACCTGAAAAACAAGTCATCGGGTCAATAAATAGAACTGAAGTGATAGTTCTTCAAAGGGTGAGATAAGATGGCCAGTAACTATTTGAGAAAGTGTTCAACACCCTAAAACCCTAATTAAAACTGCACTAAAAGTCCATCGCACTGAGTGAGAATGACTATCCTTCAAGAAAACAACACCAAATTGGGGCTAAAGAGATGGCTCAAGCCGGGCGGTGGTGGCGCACGCCTTTAATCCCAGCACTCGGGAGGCAGAGCCAGGCGGATCTCTGTGAGTTCGAGGCCAGCCTGGTCTCCAAAGCGAGTCCCAGGAAAGGCGCAAAGCTACACAGAGAAACCCTGTCTCGAAAAAAACAAAAAAAACAAAAAAAACAAAAAAAAAAAAAAAAGAGATGGCTCAATGGTTAAGAACACTTGTTCCGCTGGGTGGTGGTGACGCACATCTTTAATCCCAGCAGAGAGAAACACTGTCTCAAAAAACTAAAACAAACATGTTTTGCTCTTCCAGAGGACTGTAGCTCAATTCCCAGTACTCATGTTGAGCACCTCACATCCACCTGTAACTACAGCTTTAGGGAATGAAGCACCTTCTTTTGGCCTCCAAGGGCACCTGCACACATCATGTGCATATGCACATACGCATAAACAATAAAAGTGATAAAACTGCTTCACGCCTTTAATCCCAGACAGAGCCAGGCGGATCTCTGAGAGTTAGAGGCCAGCCTGGTCTACAGAGCGAGATCCAGGACAGGCACCAAAACTACACAGAGAACCCCTGTCTTGAAAAACCAAAACCAAAAAAAAAAAAGTGATAATATTAAATTTTACAATAACAACAACAACAACAAAACAACAACAAATGCTAAAATGGGGCTGCCACTACAGAAATCTGTATGGAGGATTCTAAAACAGTAAACATAGAAATACCATATGATCCAATTACACCACTCAACTAATACCACTCATGGATATATACCTTGTATTAGTTATTTTTCTCAATGCTGTGGTAAAATACTTTGTATTTGTATAAAGCAATTTAAGGGGCCACCAGATGGCTCTGTGGGTAAAGGCACTTACTATACAAGCCTGGTGACCTGAGTTTATTAATCCTTGGGACCCATGTCAAACTGGAAGAAAAGAACTGACTCCACAGAGTTGTCCTCTGACCTCTCCATGTGTGCCATGGCATGTGCATGCAGCACCCACACATACACATGTAATAACAGTAAAAGTAACTTAAGGATTTGTTTTGGCTCACAGTTTAAAACCATTCAGTCCAGCAGGGCAGAGAGGTGTGACAGAGTTCATGGGAGCAGAAGCATGAAGCTAGGACTCCTCACATCTGGGAAGACCAGAAAGCAGAAGAATGCTGGTGCTCCTTCCTCCTTTTCATTCAGGCAGCTACCATAGACCATGATGAGATGGTGCTGCCACATTCAGAGCAGCTCTTCCTTCCTTGTTTAAATTTCTCTAGAAATAGTCTCACAGATATACCTAGAAAAGTGCCTCTTAGGTAATTCCAACTCTGGTCAGGTTGGCCATGAAGATTAACCACGACATACCTGAAGAATATCCATAGATAAAGCATGCCATAGCTATAGTTGCATATCCACGTTTATTACTGCACTATTCATAATAGCCCAGGTATGGAACCAGATTAGAAGCCCATCAACAGATGGATGAAGGAAATGTAGTAGATATACACAAGGGAATTTTATCTCCAGTTCCATCCATTTTCCTGAAAATGTCAGAATTACATTCTTTATCACCAGAGACACGTGTGCATGCCGATTTTGGCATACTTGGATGCTAAAGTAAACCTGGTCCTTGGAGGCTGAGTTCTGCTTATTAAAGGACAGGGACTTGGTTCAAGTATTTGCTTCCACATGTGTCACCCACGGGAGGACTCTCAAGGGATGCTTCCTGGTAAAAGTTAGGAATGTAGCTGTTTTTCCCAGAGCTTTCTTCCCCAAAGACTGTTCAGGGATTTATTCTGCCTGTGGGAGAGCCTCCAGCCATCAGCAGATTGTACTTGAAAAAACGGCTTCTTGCTAGACCGACTACAGGAAGTAAGACCGTTTTTCAGCCACCCCAACTCCATCCTACAGAGTATCTCATTTCCATACAACCTTCTTCCAAATCAAATTAGAGCGACAGAACCCCAGTGCCCTGAAGACAGGACTCAACTCCTCAGAGCCAAGTTCTCTGACCTTCAGGAGTTCCCAGCAGGCCTCCAAAATCTGCCCCGCCCCCACAACTGTCAGATCTGGATTCTCCCCTTTAAATGTCATTCCCATCTTGCTCAGTATCTAGAACGAACATGGGTTTTAAGGTACAAAGGCCTCCATCCTTCAGAGAGACACACCCCCTCCACCCCTCAAACCTGGCGCCCCTCAAATCCTCAGAGCTGTGGAAGAAGCAGTTCATCCCTAAAGGCAGCTCGTTCTCTCAACTGCTCACTCATACACACCCTCCCCAGATTCTTCTAAACCAGGGCCGCCTCCCGACCCTCATATCCCAGAGTCAGCTCCCTATCCCCGAGGCCGTCATGCCGGGCACCAACTCCCCCGTTCGCCACCTCAGTGGTTTGGGCGCCCTTCTCAGGGACGCGCTCCATACCATAGTCCTAACTTCTGTGGCAGGCGGACAGGCGCGCGACCCGCCCTCTAACGGCACCTAGAGAACCAAGGGCCTCTGCAAGTGGGAGGGGCGAGGCCCGGGGCGGGGCGGGGCCTGGCGCGAGGGGGCGGGGCCTGGCGAGCGCGGGGCGGTCTCGCGAGCGGTGGCAGGTGAGCGGCGGGCGCGAATGGCGGAGCAATGGGATCTGGACGAGGAGGGCCTCCGCCGCCTGGGGGCGCTGACCCTGGAGCAGCCCGGTAGGGCCTAGCCGGGAGGGTGTGGGTCGGGAGCGTGGGTCAGAGGCTGAGAGGAAACTGTGGTGGAATCCTTGGGAGCCCAAGGTAGAGCCAAGGGAACTGCAGGGGAACAGTTCCTGAGGCCACCAAAGAGGAAACTGAGGCAGAAGGGTTACACTGAGGTGCCGAACGTGAAGTAACTGGATAGTCTGAGGCAGAGAGAGGATGAGAAATTGAAGGAAAAGAACGTGAAGTACTAACAGGCAGGAACGGACCTTGTGGCAAGTGACAGAATTTGACAGAAAGAAGTCTCCATTAGTGGAAGGAAATGCTGAAAGAAGGGCAGTGTTGGGGAGGACAACGGTGGTGGTGGGCGCTGTTGAGGAGCACAAGGGATGTTTATTTTGGTAGTCGCTTAAACTGCCTGCCTAGGAGGGCTTTCCCAGGTTGCGATGCATTGGGAAAGGACACCCCCATTCCATCATCCTTTCTCAAGAAACTGAAGAACTACAGCCTTTCTTTGGTCAATCTGGATGTTCCCTTTTAAAAGTTCAGAGAGGCTTTATGTGAAATACTAAGCAATCCCTCAATCATTTAGCTCAGTGCCCCGGCCCTGCCTTCATCCTAAAGGTAATACTGAGTGATGCTGAACTCTGCCTCTGACAGGGTTTGACTCACATATGTTACTTTCTGAGTGTCTAAGAAGGAAGAAAGCTGGGAAGGTATTCTATATTCTTTATTAAACTCTTACTTCCCTAATAAGTTTATTGTATCATTATTGCCACTCGTTGTGTTAAATGCCTTACCAGAACAAGCCTACTAGGCAGATGCTGTTATAGTTCGCATTTTACAAATCAATAAAGTTAGATTAGACTCTTGCCCAGAGTCACAGAGCTGGTGGTACAGACAGGGTTTATTAATCCAAGACTTATTCCAAAGCCTGTGCTATAACCATAACAAAGATTCTTTCCTGCTTCCTCTACTTTTTTCATTTGTAAAACAAGAAAATATTGGGATTTTAATTAATAATTTAAGAATTGTTTTTAAGTTATAAAAATTAGTGCATGCTGGTAAGTCAAATATTACATGAATGATAAAGAAGCTACTAATTTTCTGTAGCCAAAGATAATAGTTTGATTAATGAATAAATTGAGACAGACCTTTCATATATATATATAAATATATATGTTTGTATGAGACAGGTTATCATGTGACCCAGGCTGGCCTCAAACTTGATACTATACCCAGTCTTATGCAGTTCTGAGGAGTCAAGTCTAGTGCATGATAGGCAAGCATTCTACCAATTGGGCAACATCCTCAGCACAGCATATATTTTCTTTTCAAAACGATTGTGAACCCCTATTTTGCAAGTCAGATATAATAAACTTCATTGGCTTGGTATACATCTGTGTCTTCCCTTCCATTAAAATATTTTTATAGTATTGATTCACCTTGATATTGATGGAGAGGCACAAAGCTAGGCATAGTGGTGCATGCCAGTAATCCCAGCTACTAGGGAAGCTGAGGTACAAGGACTGACTGCATCCACACATTTGAGATGTAGTCTTTGAGAAAGAAAGAAAGAAAGAAAGAAAGAAAGAAAGAAAGAAAGAAAGAGAGAGAGAGAAAGAGGGAGGGAGGGAGGAAGGAAGGAAAGAAGGAAGGAAGGAAGGAAGGAAGAAAAGATAGAAAGAAAGATAATGGTATTTGTGGGAGAAGTCATATACCCCTTTGGTTCTCCAGCTAGAACAATATATGGCATTTTAACTCTCTCTCTCTCTCTCTCTCTCTCTCTCTCTCTCTCTCTCTCTCTCTCTCTCTCTCTCTCTCTCACACACACACACACACACACACACACACACACATTGGTGTATTTGAGATAGGACCTCACTATTTAGACTAGGCTAACACCAAACTCACAAGGATCCGTCTCAGGCTCCCATGTGTTGGGATTAATGGTGTGTGCCACCAAGCCTAGCCAAATAAAAAACTTTTAAATCTTTAAAAAATATATGAGATCAAATAAAAGGTCTGTAGACTGGCCCTTTGTACATTACACAACTTTGTACATCATTGACAACTTAGGCAAGGAGAGTTTCAGTGAAGTAGGGAGGAAGGAAACCATGTTGAGGTAGAATGAGGAGGAAATGATATGTTTGAGAGAGGAAATAAGTGAAAGTGAGAATTTTTTATGACTGTAAAGAAGAATACAGGCATAAAATGGTACCTGGATGGTATGATATAGGGTCAAGAACAGAGCATAAGCAAAATGTACTAGAGCATGTGTTGTTGATGATAATTATTTGGCAGAGTAATTATGTATTTTTGAAAAAGGCTGTTAGCCAGGTGGTGATGATGCACGCCTTTAATCCCAGTACTTGGGAGACAGAGGCAGGCAGATCTCTGAGTTTGAGGCCAGCCTGACCTACAGAGTGAGTTCCAGGACAGCCAGGGCTACACAGAGAAACCCTGTCTCAACAAAACAAAACAAACAAACAAAAAGGCTGCTAAATACTAGATATTATAATTGTTAAACAAAAAGTAAGTCTTTACCTTGCCTCCCTTTTTACAGGCCTGGTTCCTCTTCCTAAGGACAATTACTATTAACAGAGAAATAGCCTCTACATATATAAGCATTTTATTTTATTTTATATTTATGTATTTTTTTTGAGACAGAGTCTCACTATGTAGCTCTGACTTCCAGGAATTCACTATGTAAACCAGACTGGCCTTAAACTCACAGAGATACACCTGCCTCTGCCTCCTGAGTGTTGGGATTAAAGTCATGTGACTATGCCCTGCAATTTTATAATTTTTATATGACTATTTCCCAATGTATACAAGAGTAGAGATAGTGCTTGCTTCGGCAGCACGTAGACTAAAATTGGAACGATACAGAGAAGATTAGCATGGCCCCTGCACAAGGATGACACGCAAATTCGTGAAGCGTTCCATATTTAAAAAAAAAAAAGAGTAGAGATAACAGAATAATGAACTCCTGTTACTTTACTTCGACAGTTATCACTTATAGTCAATCCTGTTTCTTTCATACCTTACCCATCCTCCTACTCCTTAACCTCTGCACTAATTATTTCAAAGCAAATCACAGATATATAATTTCATCCATAAATATCTTGTCATGTATTTTCAAAGAAAAGAACTCCTCAAATAACCAAATATTCAATCTAAAATATTTAACAGCAACTTCTTTGTTTCATGTCTGTATGGTGTGTGAACATGTGTGTGGAGACCCAAGGATAACATTGGAAATCTTCCTCAATTGCTCTCCACATTGAGGTAGTGTGTCTCTCTCCATTGAACCCAGATCTAATGAAATGGACTAGTCTATCTAAATCACTTGCTCCTGGGATGACCTGTTTCTGCCTTTCCAGTGCTAGAATTGCAAGTAGAGCACCACATCTGCCCAACATTTATGTGGGTACCCAGGATTCAAACTTCAGTCCTCATACTTATGTGGCAAGAATTTTATAAACTGAGTTCTCTTCCTAGACCATAATTAATTTTGTTTTATTTTTTAAAGATTTATTTATTTATTATATATACAGTACTCTGCCTGCATGTATGCCTGCACGCCAGTAGAAGGCGCCAGATCTCATTATAGATGGTTGTGAGCCACCATGTGGTTGCTGGGAATTGAACTCAGGACCTCTGGAAGAGCAGTCAATGCTCTTAACCTTTGAGCCATTTCTCCAGCCCTTATTTTGTTTTAAAATGTTCTCGTTCTCCTTCTCCTCCTCCTCTTCCTCTTCCTCTTCTTCCTCCTCCTCCTCTTCCTCTTCCTCTTCTTCCTCCTCCTCCTCTTCCTCCTCCTCCTCCTCTTCCTCCTCCTCCCCATCCTCCTCCTCTTCTTCTTTTCTTCTCCTTCTCCTTCTTTTTCTTCTTTTTTTTTTTCCTTGAGACAGGTTTCTCTGTATAACCCTGGATGTCCTGGAACTTACTCTGTAGACCAGTCTGGCCTTGAACTCACAGAGATCCACCTGCCTCTGCCTCCCAAGTGCTAGGATTAAGAGCATGCATGCACCACCACTGCCCAGCTTGTTCTGTTCATTTTTAATTGCCTATAAAATATCTTTAAATGTAACAGTATTGTTACATTTTCTACAGAATACATTTCTTTCTGGGCCACTCCCACGATCTTATCTAATATAGTATCTCAAGTACTACCTCAGACTTCTAATACGTTGTACTTTAAGTAGAGCAGTAACCTGTGCGTGTGTGTGTGTGTGTGTGTGTGTGTGTGTGTGTGTGTGTGTGTGTTGTTTAGAGCCTTATAATCCAGAGCCTTATACATGCTAGGCACTCTACCACTGGATTGCATCTCGAGCCCCAATAATAACTTCTCTGTGGAGGGGGGTGCAGTTTGAAGCAAGGTCTCATTCATGTAGCCTTGGCCTGCCTAGAGCTCACTGTGCAGACCAGACTGGTTTTGAACTCTGTCTCCAGAGTGCTGGTATTAAAGGTGTGTGCCACCATGCCTAGCTATAATAACTCCCCTAATATCAAGTATTCAATCAGCATTATCATTTTTCCCATTGGGACATAATTTTTTAAAAATATCTATATGAAGTGCATATGCTAGTTTGCTGATATATGTTTTAAATTTTATCTAAAATCTCCCTACTTTTTTCCTTGAATTTTCATCATATTTGAGGAAACGTACATCATTTGTTTTGAAGAGTTCATTGCAATCTGGACTTTACTTGCTATATTATCCCTAAGATGTCTGTCATTTTTTCTTGTTTCCTGCATTGCCTAATTAGTGGTTATATGAGATTTAATCAGCTTCAAGTTTGATATGTGTGTGCCTTTTTCACACAACTGCTTCATGGATAACACTGTATACTTCTGGAAGGAAGTATGTAATGCCTAATGTTCTTTATATTTTGGGTAGCCATTGAACATGATTGCCCATGTCCATTGATTCATTAGGCATTACAGAAATTCCATTGTTCTTTACTAGCTGCAATAATTCTGTAAAGACAAAAATCTCCACACCAACC